GTCAGGAAGGCGGACCGGGCAGTTGGCGCGGCGGCGGCGGAGCGGCAGGATCGGACGCCCCCGGGGGGGGGGGGGGGGGGGCGCGGGGGGCGGCGGGGGGGCGTCCAGGGAGGCCCAGTGGCTACTCCTAGATCTCCCAGGTGCTTCTGGGAGTGGAGTTGAGGGCCAGGCTCTGACCACTGCCCTATGATGGGGCAGGGCTAGTGGGCCTGTGCTCTCTGACTCACATGCAGACGCATATCCTTCTCGCTCAGCCTGGAGTCCACCTGCCCCCTGCAGCTCTCCACAAGGCTCGTGGGGGAGAGAAAGGGGCACCTATTCATCAGGCCCTGACATGCAGCTCTGGGCCCAGAGGGGAGCTGGTCTGCTGTGACCCTGCAGGGTGGGACCTCCTGGCAGAGGGGAGTGCTCCTGTGGCAGTGACTGATAAGATAGATGACTGGGGCTCAGGGAGGGAAAATGGTCACTTGGTCACTGGACCCAGCAGGCCCACCTCACAGCCTAAGATCCACCTCTTCCAGGAAGCCAGCCAGCCCTGTCCCAGGCCCACAGCACAGCACCCCCTAAAACTCCACCGCAGGGACTCCTGCCCCATCAATCACCCACGGCAGGCCTCGACCCTGCCTGCCTCTGCTCCAGCCAGCACTGTTGGGCACTTCCTTTCTCACCTCCAGCTCCTGCCTTCCCAGGCTGGGCCAGAAGCCCATCCCGGGAGGGACCATGCTCCAAGAGGGCAGCGAGCAGGCACGGTGTCCCTACCTAGGAAGCTTGGTGGGCGCCCACCTCCACTTGGCCAGGGCACCCAGCTCGTCACTTTCAACTGCACACAACTCTGCCAGGAACACTCATCTACCCATTTCACAGAAAGGTAAGATGGGCTCAGGGAGCAGCAGTCCCTGCATCTGCCCGAGGCCCCCTGCTGGAAGGAGGACACAGGTTGGTCTGGGAGCCCCGCCCATGGCTGCCCTCTGTGGTGTGGAGGTCTGTGGTCTGACGCCATCATATGCAGGGCCTCTGCTGCCCCGAGGCTGGGGTGGGACAGAAGCTGGCCCAACACACCCACTGTGTGGCCTCCCCCAGTGCTCAGCTCAGTCTGTGACAGCACCCCCCGGGGACCTCCTGTGGTATCTGGTGACCAGAGCCTCAGTCTTTGGTGAGATGGCACCAAGGAAGACAAAATCCATCGCAGGGGTCCTCTGCTCGTGCAGGTTATCCCCACAGCCCAGGTCTGAGCTACTCCTCACAACAACCCTGCCAGGGACACCACATTGGGTCAGAGAGGCCACAGAACCAGGTCTCACGGCACTGCTGTGGGCTCCACGCGCCTGGCCCTCCTTACCTGGGCCAGGCTCGCCCTGGGCCGTGCCCGCAGGAAACGGCACACACAGCACTTGGCTGAATCCTCACAAGGCTGAGAGGAGGATGCCCACCGGACCCCGGGCGAGGCCTGCTTCAGGGAAGGCAGGTGACCTGCTCAGGGTCTCAGCTTCCTCCTGAAGTCACCCCTGTTCGCGCCCCAAGTCCCCCAGGGGCCCTTTCCTTATCTGAAAGAGAAAGAAGGACTCTGTCTCAAATGGAAATACATGGTAACACGCACACACTGAAGTGCTGGAGAGAGGGTCTGCAGGGAGAGACATTCCCCCAGGCGATGGAGTCATGAAGAGGGGGTTTCCCATCAAGACCACATGGGCTCAGCTGCAGCCCTGCTGGCCGGGGTGCATCTGCCTGTTCCACTTCACCCTGAGCTCCTCTTCCCCAGGGGTCACGATTCCCTCAGGCAGGCCTCCAGGCACAGGCAGTCCCCTCCACCTAGAAATCCCCTTGTCCTATCCAACCTTCAATACCCAGCATCGGAGCCTCTTCTTCCAGGAAGCCTTCTCAGACTCCCAGGGCAGAGAGCAATCTCAAACCCTAATGTTCATTAGGCTGTGCTGGGAAGGCCTGTCACAGAGCTGTCTCCTTACCAGGGAGGGGGCTCCTCGTGGGGAGGGCTGGGTCTGGATCAGCGCTAAGATTCAGAGTCCCTGGATCAAAGCCCCAACACCGCAGGAGCTGAGGTCAGCTAAGCCTGGGGGAGGGGGAGGAGGTCAGCTGGGATGAGGACAATCCTCCCTGGTCCCTCAGACGCTGTTAGTGGGAGAAGGCACAAAATGACCCAAGCGCCGGCCTTCGGGGCAGCCGCCTGCTCATGGCCAGTTCCCAAGAGCAGCACCCTGGTGCTTGCCCAGAATCTCCAAGAAACACCCCTGCTCTTGATCTGTCCAGGTATGGGGCGCTCGCTCCATCTCTCCCCAGGTCAGGGGCTCATCCAACCCTCTGTGGCTGCACCCTCCACCAGAGCCGCATCCTCC